AAGACAATAAATGCATCAGTATTTAAAGAAGAAATATCACATGTAGGTTACCGTTCAGGAAATTCAAGTAACACTATGCTGATAGCCAAAACTACTCTTTACCAGTGTGATGCATGCCAAATGCCCTCCATGCTGCTGTATTTTGTATTCTCTCCAACCTTGAACACCATTAATGCTACAGGCAAGGCTCCCAGCATGAAGAAATCTTTGAAGACTTGGCTGCCCTTATGGCTGTAGAAGCTCGCATTTCCCCTTCATATGCACTTGTACTTCTTCAGTGAAGAAAGGGAGCCAGGAAGCCATGTGAGAGCTAAACATAAGACTTGGTTGCAGCAGGATTGAGAGCATTCAAAGGCCTGGTTGCCTATTCTTTGGCAATAAAGCTACTCTGCAACATTCCTTGAACTCTGTATCACTGAAAACTAAAATTAAAATAAATCAGAAGCAGCCTGAGAAGAAAAGGAATAAAATGTTGTGCTTACATGTAGAGGTATTGGCATAGACATAGATTTAGATAGAGCTGCTACATATTTCATGCCTCCATATTAAACACACATATGAATAACCTCTGTACAGATGGCACAACACTAACAGAGAGGTTTCATATGGGGCTTCTACAATTATGGTAACTAAATATCCACCAAAAATCAACAGGACAGTGTAGAGGTACAGAAGTGAGCAAGAGAAAAATGGACAAGGAACGTTCTTCCCCCTTGACATCTTTACTGAAACAGGGTTAGGAGCCAAGTAGATGGACACTAACAATAAGAAGCTTAAACTATAGCAATCAATAGTGAAAGATAAATTCTATTTTAACAGGAAGATATAAGCCACCATCTGGAATTTCTGCCAACTTCAGAACTGGACAAAGACACACAGTCCAAAGTCATCTATACAAAGGTAAAGAGGTAGAAATTAAATATGTTCATATGCAAAATGGAAAGCCGAAGTGAATCCTCTAAATTGAAACAGTAATAATTGTTCAAAACCTCATGTTAAACCCAACCTACATACCCTGCAACAAAGCCTGGACAAGATGCCCTTTTGTCTATAGCCATTAATTATCTTGAATCATAGGAAATAAATAGGATTTTCCCTGTTAGAAAAATCCCGATGGTCTCAAAACATTCATGTTACCCATCCTCCAAATACTATTTGCCAATTAAAATTCTTTAATTGTTCAGTTGATGCCCACTTCTTCACTCTGAGCTGGGCAGTGGGTAAAGACAAATATGAGTGTTGTCACCACAAAGCACTCTCAGTCAGTGCTACCCAAACTGGACTGCACCATCAGCCCTCTGTATATGATGAATCCACAGAGGAAAAATTCCAATGACACTTACAGTGTTATGCACCCATCTCCAAAGAAAATACCACAGCCCACTGGCTGTATTCTCAATCCTGATTTAAGGTACTGGTTTGTAATATACAGAGCACTGGGGATGGAAGCAATGCCATAAACATATTTGGGTTCTCAGGTAAATCTCTAAAGCTCGAGCTGCCCTGTATTCAGCTTTAGTGTGATATTCAGAGGTTTCTGGTTTGTGTGGCCCTGGGCTCATCAAAATCAACAATATAATCTTGAGGCTTCTATCTCTCTAGGTAAACTATGCAAATTTTGGTGCTATTGATTGGATATGATTTGTTCCCTGAAAATTCATATGTTGGAAGTTCGGTCCCCAGTGCAGTAGTGTTGGAAGGTGGCATCAAGAGGTGGAGCCTAGTTGAGGGTGCTGGATCATTGGGGTGCTGCCCTTGAAAGGAATTAATAATATTGGCTTTGCAGAGTGAGTGAGTTCTTGTGAGAGAAGGCTGTTATAAAAGAGCAAGTCTGCCCTTCCTTGTTCTCTGGCTTGTAACCATCTGACTTCTCTCACACAAGCTCTTGCCATGATGTAGCAAGGACAGGGATTCTTCACCAGAGCTGGCACTATGTTGTTTGAACTCTCAGCCTGGAAACCTGTGAGCTAAATAAAGCTCTTTCTTCTATAAAGCATCCACCTTCAGGTATTTGACTGTAGCTACAGTAAATGTATTAATATAACTAGGGATGAGCCAAGAGCTGAGAGCACCTATGGTTGGGCTGACAGTCATCCTCTATCCCAATCTGTTTCCAGGATAAGGGAATAATAAAGGGGTTAAAATATCCATGAAGACACTTATGAGGGTAAGAGTTACATCTGGAACGGCTCATCTGCACATCAGTTGCTGGTCTCTCACAGTATTTATAGTTCAGGCCAAGGCTATGAATCTATTCTATTCTAACTCAGAAATCATGACTGACATATTGCCTGGTTATTTCAGGAAGTACAGTAGTGTTTTTACATGTTTTTTTTTCTTTTTAATACATATGCTTTTCAGTGGTAATCCTTGCTCTAATAGCATTCAAAGTACATTAATTTACGTTAATTTTTAAATACCTCTTTTTATGCAGTTTCATTTCCACTGGCTGTATAAGCCACATCCTAATTTCTAGATCCCTAAAGATTATCAACTCAGCTTCTAACTTGTAAAAAATAACCTCAGATCAGGCCCAATTTGCTCATATCATGCCACAGATCGACATGTAGCTAAAAATATAAAAATAAGCTATTCTAAACAAGAATATGACTCTCTGAGACAAAATTTCTAAAAATACCTTTATTTTGTTTAGGAAAGAGAGAAAAACATGCGATATAATAGTTACTGCCTGAAGGAAGTCATTTGCTAACTCTGTGTCAAGGTTAAGCAAGCTCTATCTTCCAATTCATTAAGAATATCCTCAGGTTACACTCAGAAAATATAGGTGCTTTAGTGGCAATCACCCCCCAATTATCCAAGTAAAATACAATATCAGTCCTAGCAGCAGGATCCCAATATTAAATACAATCATTTTTAAAACCAAAATCCACCTTTTCCCTGTTCCCTAGCTGCTCTACAGAGAGTAGGAGGTTGACATATAATTTTTCTGTCAGGGGTAGTCCTAAACCAAGGAAGAGGAGGGGCTTCTTGATTTTGCTCCAGGGACTCCCAGAGCTTCAATGAGCTCCCAAAAGGAACTGGACGAATCTTCACACTAAAAAGCCATGGGATGAAAGATCTCAAACTAAATCTTTAAGAAAGGATATTCTATACTGCTACAATGTGATACTCTCCAGTAAAATCGATGCTTGGGGACATGCACTCCAAGTGCTTCTAAGGAAAGAAAGCACTTGATGAAAATGAGAAACACAAATTGCCCTGGTAGGTAGCCAATGTGTAGAGGACAGCTGCCTAGTCCAGCCCGAGTGACAGCCTCGAGACCCTGGGACTTCAAAAGGTCTGGGAAGCAACGGGTGAGTTTGTTTTGTTTTCCTCCCCCACACCTTGTCAAACTCAGAGAGAGATCTGGTAGCCCATGTTTTTGACATGGAAAAGTGATTCTCAGAGAATGCTAGGAGGCCAGGTGTAGTGGTGCATTCCTATAATACCAGCGATTCAGGAGGCTGAGACAGGAAGATTGCTGAGACCAGCCTCAGCAACTTGGAAAACACTCAGCAACTCAGTAAGACCCTGTCTCAAAATTTAAAAAAAAATCAAAAAGGGATGGGGATGTAGCTCAGTGGTAAAGCACCCATGGGTTAGATTCCCAGTACACACACACACAGACACACACACAAGAATGCTTAGGTAATAGCAGTACTGGTATCCCCTAGAAACGGCGAGAAATGCCAGCTCACAGGTCCATCCAGACCCTATTAATATGAATCTCTGGAGGAATCCCAGTGATCCATGTCTTCCCAAGTCCTATAAGAGTTTCTAGCACCCAGTCACATTTGAGAATCAGTTGTAGAATGAATTAAAATCACTGTAGTATAGTGCCTCTCCCAAGCTTTATTGATAATTAGAGAATGAAAGATCTTTTATTGTCCTAAAGAAATGTCAAGAGTCAGCAGGTTAAGGGGGAGTCAGAAGTTTGGGGTTTGTTTTTTTCTAATTTTTGTTGTTTTATGCCTGAATTTACCAATAATCTTCATTTTCATTTCTAATTTAAAAACCAGAACCACAGACACCAACAAAACTAAAAGAGGAATGTCATAAATATATCTGGTCTACCCCAGGGCCCAGTGTGTGCTGGGCAGCTTACTGCTATTCAAACATTTCCCTTCAAATAGACAAGCAACATTAATAGTAATTCTAAATTGGCCACATGGATGAAGAAAACCTATCAGACCTGCTCTCCAACACAACTAGACACCAGTAAGTCTTCACAGCTTTCCCACTCAGACACAAAATACGACAATAACTTAAGGGCAGATGTATAAGTTTAAACTTTAGAGCAAACACTTTTAAATTATGAAAACTCTTCACTTTTTAGATAACAAAAACATGGATACAAATTTACCCATTCCACCAAAATTTATTTTCAAGTCTCTAAAAGAAATTAATAATCGATTCTTAAGCAATATAGCCTCTAATTTTTAATCCAGCACTGAGAATTTTCCACATAGAAAAAAAAGCCATTCATTCACAGATCCTCCAGGTACTGCCAACAGTTGTTCTTATTTTGCTTCCAACAGTATAGTTTAAATGTCAAATAATTAGAATCTGGAAAAGCAAAACAAGACCAAAAGCATGCCACTAAAGATGTGGAAATCAAATGTATAGCAGAAAAGACCTTTCTTCACAAAGCACACGTGCCCACACTACACTAGCCACCAGGTCTCGCCTGCCCTTATGTAAGCGAAAGGGAAAATCAAGCACTATTTATAGGCCAAGCTCATCATTAGCCACTTAATACTCAAGAAGCCAGTTCCGTATCTTCTGGGACAACCATCCTCATGGGAAAGTAGGCAGTTCTGAGTAATCAACATTATTTTGCTCAGTCTTGATCTGTAGTATCATATATTTGTTGCTATTTTTTCAGTCTTAAAAACCAGTCATTGTAAATCTAGCCACTTCCTTCTTTAGTGGTAATTAGCATTAGTCATAAGCCAAAAATTATTCCACATAAGAAGTAAAACAAATATAACCCTTCTTACCTTTCATGCCAAACTTGGAGTGTCTTGCCAATTTAAGCAGAAACAGCATCACCAGCAGACAAAATCCCACCACGGATGCAATTACCACCACAGCATAGACCTAGAGAGGAGAGATGCCAGTGACACACTTGTAATAGTTCCCCATAATTATATGATGATGAGGAAGAGGACAGTTAATGTTTACTGGATATTTGTTCTTTTAAAAGCTTTAGATATACCAATTCACCTAATCCTCAATAACCCTATAACAGAGTATGTGGGTTCTATTATTATAACTAATTTACACATAAGAAAACATAAGTTAAATCTTATAAAAATGGTCATTCAATTGATAGGATACAGACATAATTGTTTCTATAGCATTATCTATCCACCCATCCACCCAGCCATCCAGCTATCCACCCATCCATCCATTCATTCATGCATCCATCCATTTGGAGAGACAGAAGAAAGATAAAGAGTACATGAAATATGACTGACAAAATACTGATAGTTTTTAGGTTGGTGAAAGAAACAATGGGGTTGATTTTATAGTTCTCTCTAATTTTTGAGTGTTTGAAAGTTGTCCATAATATAAAAGGTTTTTTAGGTTAGTTAGTATCATTGCTCTTGGAAGGGAGATACCTGTGAGCAATGAGTAAAAAGCAGGAGGACACTTTTGGGTGTGTTCCATTTGTGAAAGCTCTTGGAGTTGTACATTTATGATCTGTGAACTTTTCTGTATGGATGTCAAGGCCAAAAAATGGTGTTTTAAGTTTAAAAATGGAATTTCAAGGTTTGGGTTATATAAGCAGAGATAGGCATGGGAATCCTTTAAGAGTCCTGAGATGACGATGGCAGAGATACAAGTGGAAATTGAGTTCACACTGCTATCATCACTACTCTAAGTCCATTATGATCACAGTGCCACTCTAAGTGCATTATAATATTCCAGAAACAGAGATATAAGCAGCATGTGCATCACCTTTCAGTTTTGCTCAGCCCAAGATTTTGTATTTTAAAACAGAAGTTTCAAGGAGTTGGCAACCTTTGTGGGTCAGATAATGGGTCAGATAGTAATTATGTAGGCTTTGCCAGTCACACAGTCAATCTCTGCTACAACTACTCAGCTGGGCGATGTGGCATGAAAGCAGCATAGAAAATAGGGAAACAAACAGGTGTGGCGCTGTATTCCAATAAAACTTTATTTATAAAAACAGATGGGCAGATAGATGGATTCAGACCCAGTTTGCTAACTTCTGCCTCACAATATCTTAGATGTCCACATTGATTTAGACACTTAAAATTCATTGTTTCATTTAATCTGCATAATTCAGAAAATAAACAGTATTGTCCCCCTCTGTGGTGATCCCTAGCACTGTTCAGTAAATATTTTTGGTGTCCCTTGTGTCTTTCTATAAAATGTACTTCCTGGTTTGCTTGTGATTATGTGGGTTCATGAGACTTCTGTCATTGCAGGGTGCAGACTTTCATTGCTTGTCTCTGAACTTAGTATAAGGCAGGAGTTCTCTACTAGGAATAATGTTGCCCCCCAGGGAAATTTTGTAATTCTAGGTTGTCACAACTAGAGGCAAGGTGCTGCTAGCAGGGTAAAAGTGGGTGGTGGGTAGATGCCAGGGATGCTGCTAAACATCCCATAGTGGCTAGGATAAGGCCTCCAAACAAAAACTTACTTGTAGTAAAATGCCAATGGTGCCAAGGTTAAGAAACCTTACTCCACCCTTCTCTCCAGCTCTTTTTCTCTCTGTTATAATAAATGTGAGCTCTCTGAAAAGCAGCTGCTTTGTCAACCCAGGCCTAGAATCAAGACAAAGCTGAACAGAGGTCCTAGCCAATATGGAATAAAACATGAAAAAATCATTTGTGGTTTGGGCCACTAAGATTTGGGGATTTTTGTTACTGCAGCATCGTTTACCTGGACCAATATAGTGAGAGGCACTAGAGAGTAGAGAATTTTAAGAACATGTTTTTTTCCTAGTGTAAAATTTAGAATTAGCATTTATTAGATACATGATTTCAGAATGACTTAAGCTCTCTGCATTCCATAATCCTCATGCGTAAAATGAGGAATATAATTGTTTTATATTTATATTATATTTATATTTATTTTATATTATATTAATATGTAATATATATCTTATATTTATATTTAGGTTGTTGTAAATCCTCAATGAGTTAATATAGAAAATAGGCTCAGAATAGTCTCTACTATAATAGGAAACATATTGTTGGCTATGACAATGATAAAACTAAAATTTAAGAAAAAATTAAACAAGTAACCCAAGGTCACACCCCCCAACCCTGGAACTTGAATCAGTCTGTCTAGATGTTTTTGACACCTGTTTCATGACACTGTCTCACCAGTGTGTGACTAACAATGAATGTAAGAAAATAAAAATACAATGGCTAATCCTCCCCAGGATGGCACTATCTGATGTCAGATGAGGACATCATTAAATAAGTCACAACACAAAAAAGAACAATGCCAACCTCCTGGCCCAGGTGGAGTGAAGGTATGATAATTCTCTGCTCTAGTACTTTAGCTATGAGTGGCTCTCCCATATGATGCTCCTGCACACATCTGAACTTAAGACTTAACTCTGCCTCACCATTCTATACACTCACAGAACAGCAGTAATTCCTACAAAGCTAATTATAGATTAAGTAGTTCTTATCAAAACCATTTCCCTCAAACTTACCAATGAGCTTGGGTTTTGTTGTTGCTGTTACTTTATTTCTAACTAATGTTTTCATGAGAAAGAAATCATAGTATGTCAGCTATAATTTTCTTTATTAGCCTCCAGACTTCCAAAGATAGAAGAATAACTAAACAAACAAGTTCCAACAATATTTTATAGACAAGACAACTGGGATGAAGAGAGGTTCTGGGACTTCCCCAAAGTCTCCCAACCTCTCAGCAATACCATGGTGTAGGCTCTGACTCAATTTAACAAGTCTTTGGGAATTCAAGTGCCCCAGGTCCCTGTGTTTGCAGGACACCTATCCTTTTGCGGCTGTGGTGGAGCTAGACAGATGTTTCAGTTCTCCAAGCTTCCATTTTTTCATCAGATAACAATGTTTGTCCCATTTTCTCTACATAGTTACAGAATGTACAAGTCAACCAGAAAAATGAGAATTGGGCTCTACTTAAAAAGCAGCCAATTATTTGCAAACAAATATTTAAACTTATCTGATGTCATTGTAACACTTTCATAAACAAAGACTCCTCTGACAGTAGAATCATTTTTTTTTCAAAAGTGAATCATTTGATAAATGCAGAGTTTCATGAACTGTGCCTGTGCTGAAATGGTGGATGGCCTTTAGGTGTGTGAGTTTGATTGATTGGTTTTTGGTTGTTACCAGAGGAATCTCTTAGGATGTCAAAATGTATTCTAGTGTCATGTATAACTAATTAAAACAAACTTAAAAATTAAGAAAAAAAAAAGGATCTCCTCTTCCCTGCAAATCCAACAAGGTGCAGCATAAGATGGTCTTGTTGGGTCAGAGGGTCAGTGTTTAAAGCTGTATTCCAAATGCCCTGACTATGCTTTCAACTTTCATATCAGTTTCCTGGCTCTGAAATTTTTCTAGTGATCAACACTGTGATAAAAGATTATGTATCAAGTATCTGAAGCACACATCATTTTAAAAGTTTCTTCAAATTCTATAAAACATAACCTTGCATCTCCCACAGGTTTCTAGGGGGTTAAGACAGAGTCATATTGTACAAATTTTCCACAAGTATCCTCATTGATCTTGTCTTCTGGTACAATAGACAGTTCAACATCATTGAGATATGCCTATTGAGATATGCCTATTAGGGGCTTCACTTTATCATTTTTATTAAAAAAGAGAAAAAAATGAATATAATTGGGATACATGCACACATGTGGGCTTTAGTGCATGCTGTTTGGATTTCTTAGGTATACAAACAACTTTTACAAACTAAGAAATACTAAATCACTCAGTATAAAAATAAAATTTGAAATGATTGATAAGGCAGAAAGTAACCATTCTTTAGTAGATTCACCATGGTATTTGTTCTTGCTATTTCAATGTAATGCATATACTTGGCATGGAAGTGTGTGCATGTGTATGTACATGTGTGTCTGTACAGGACATGTTCACTTTCAAATGCAGTTGTGCTGGATCTGTTTAGGAGCCTTCCATTGCCATTGACAGGACCTTGGTTCAAGTATATATCACATCATATTACTGTACCAACCTCTAACTAATCACCTACTTCCAATCTCTCTGTTATACAACCCATTCTATAGTGTTCACCATAAGTCTAGTCAGTCTGCAAGACTGAATGCCTACTAGGTGTCAGGTGGTATTTTGGGAGGGTAAGGATGTGATTGTGAAAAAACACTGATCGGGTTGCTTAGAGGTAATCCTCTTTAACCTGAAAGATATGTACCAAGACTTCCATTGGATGCCTGAAATCATGGATAGTAATGAACCCTATATATGTTATGTTTTTTTTCTATATATACCTGCCTATGGTAGTTTAGTTTATAAATTAGGCAGAGTAAGAAACCAATAATAACTAATAGCAGAACACAGAACAATTATAAAAATATAACAGAATAAAAGTTTGTGATTTGGAGCTATTACTAAGTAAAATAAGGGTTACTTCAACCATGACAGTCAATCTGATAACTGTGTAGCTAAAGGATGAGTGGTTTATACAGTGTGGACATGCTGGACAAAAGGGTGCTGCTTCACAGCGAACCAGTGGCTTGGAGAGGGATAGGCATGGAAGGTGAAACCATGGAAGGTAAAAACTGCAGATTAGGGGTTGTCACGATACTAAGAATCTGGCTAAAGAATCTTGAGTATAGAAAAAGACATTTAGCAAATACATGAGGCAAACAATGACTGCTCAAAAGGAAATGAAAGAGTAAAGGCTGCCTGCTGGCCACCTTGCTAAAGCCACATGATGATTTCTGCGATGTCTACCTGCTGTAGGGGGCACAACGAATGCAAAGAGTAAACCTGGAGTATTTGAGGAGCATTTAGAAACACAGAGGTGAGAAGGGAGAAGGGTGTGGACGACAAGCCAGAGAGAGGAGTAAGAACAAGACCCCACAGGGCCGCAGAAGGTACTGTGAAGAGTCTGGCTTTGGGGATAGAAGTTTTATTAAAATTGAAATGAGAAGACAGAATTAGAAAAAATAAGTGATCTGAAAAAAAAGGAAATTCTGTTATTTGTGTAAATATATATATATATACATATATACATATATAGGGCATTTGTGTTAAGTAAAATAAGCCAGGCACAAATTCCGGATGTTTTCACTTATGCTGTTTATGGAATAAAAATTCTCATAATAAATTAGTTATCAGAAGCTAGGGCAGGGAAAGGAAAAGGGGATAGGTTGTTCAATAGGTACAAAGTTACAGTTAGAAGGAATAAATTCTGCTTTTTATATAATCTATTGCATTGCATGGTGACTACAGTTAATAGTAAGGTATTGTATGCTTCAGAAAGCTAAAAAAGGAATTTTAAGTGTTCTCAGCACAAAGAAATGATAAATGTTGGAAGTGATAGATATGCTAATTACTCTGATTTGATCATTGCATAGTGTATGCATGTATGGAAATTGCACTTCACACCCCATAAATATATGAGATTATTACTTGACAATTAAAAATAAAACTTCAGAAAGTGATCTCATTTGTGCTTGTAACAGTCACTAAAGCTGCTGTGTAGAGAAAGATCAGAAGTTGATAAATACAGATGAGTGAGGCAGGTTAGGAGGATGTGGCACCCTCCAGGAAAGAGTACCTGTGGCTAGCTTTCTCAGTAAAGGGCCAGATAGTAAACATTTTCAGTTTTGCAGACCATATGGTCTCTGTTGCAATGATTCCACCCACCAAAAGTAGCCACAGGTAATGTATAATATGGGCATGATCATATCTCAATAAAACTTGATGGATATAGAAGTTTGAATTTCATAAAATTTTCAGGCCATGAAACATCATTATTCTTTTTCTCTTTTTTAAAAATATAAAAACTATTCTTAGCTTGTAAGCAGAAAAAAAAAAAAAAAAAAACAGGTGGCAAGCCACACTTGACCTCATAAATCCTAGTTTGCCATGCCCTGGGTTAGCCTACAACCACAGCAGCAGAGGTGGAAAGATATGCCGGGGGTAAAACATATAAAGAGGCAGAGCTCACAGGACAAGCAGGCTGTATGCATGTGACAAGTGAGGAGATGAAACTATGGAGGAAACTGTTAGGTTTTTGACCAGAGCAACAGAAAACACCAATCCTATCAAGATGCCTGAGATATGTGATTCTCCCTTAGGTGGCTCTTCACTGTGTAATAAAACTGAAAACTACCTTGGGACTGTGCTTCAAGATCTATGTCTCCCACCTTACCACTTCCCTGCACACACCAGACCCTCCAGTCCACACCTGTGTCATGTTTACCAGTCTGAGAGCTCTCACTCATGCATATCAACACCCTTCCCTCCCATTCTTCTATGTCCAAACCTGGCCCTCCTGCATAGGCCACATAAAATACCACTCTACATCTGGGGTCTCTGAATGAAATGCTACCTTCTAAATAACAAACCTGATTTTCATTTGTATTTTTATATCCTCCATAAACTACTGGATTCCTACATTCGGTGGGCACTCCTATTAAAAAAAAAAATTTAAACAGAATGTGAAGGTGTGTTGAATGAGAATGGCAATTTCCTGATCTTCTAATGATCACATGGTAAATCACAGATATTTGAAATAATAATCACTAACAATTAAAGTGGTGAAAAAAGGAGAAGCAATAAGCCAGAGGCTATATAGCATCTTTACTTTTCTTAAACCTTTCTATCAATTCCTCCAAACTTTAATCACCTGTTTACATATGACTATAATGTCTTGTAGAAGGAGCTACATCCCTACAACACTTTGAGCTTCCAAAATTCTCAGAACCAATCTAGAAATAGTCATCACACTCACCGAGAGACGTTCCTGACTAGTTTTGCCAGGGACAATTGTGGTGGGGATTTCATAGCTTTTGTTCATGGCATCCCCGAGGTCATTTGTCGCAGTCCAATCTTAAATTGGAGAAAAGGGGAAGAGAAGGAACATGAAATTGTCATTAAGGTGTTCACACACACAAGGCCACAGAAAGATCTAGAATGAAGCAGTACAAATCACAGAGCTTCTGAACCACCCACAGCCTGGCTGTAGAGATGTCTGGCTGAAGAGTTAAATCCACAGTAGCATCAGGACTGCCCAAACCCAAAGTTTTATTCACCCCAGATCTTCACATCACTGTTTGTTGGTCAAATTCTAAATTTGGTAGCATTTTCTCTTTGCATTTAAGAATATACCCCTTTATTAATGGCATCTCAAAAACAAACATGAAGGAGAATCAAGCACCTAAGGGTCACAGATTTATAGACACAGCATCTTTGAGACAGCCTCTCATTTTGGAAAAGTGAAATGACTTCTCAAAGCCCTCCAGGAAAAATGGAGACAGAACCCAGACACCAACCCAGATTTCAAATGAGCAACACAGATTCCAGGGCACAAGCATCTTATCTGAAGGGAAAATGCTTAATATGGAATATGTTATAAGCACCAATATGGGATGTGGGTCTGTAATGGGGCATTTTTTAAAGAGTGATAAGCTTCCAATATTTCAGTTTCAAAATATGTTGTCATTTCACCAAGTTCAATGGCAATTGCCATTTTCTGGGTTAATTTCAGACTACATGAATCAGGATAGAAATAGATGACTGAAGTGTTGTGGGTAATCAAAGTTTTTATTTATTTAATATCACATACAAAATATCACAAAGCATGCTTGGTAAATTTATTGTACACAAAGTTGTTTATTAATGTCTGTATTTTAATTCTATGTAGGTAAGAGCCTTCAATTTCCATCCTGAACAAGTGATCTCATTATCTCAGCCTCAAGTTAAGATTTCCTAGATAGAATCATCATGTGGGACTCAGGACAACCAATTTAAATTACTTTTATACTAGCAGAGTGTTCCTTTGACTATGAATGAAAAGTAACAGAAAAAGCACCTGTTTTCTGTTTGCTATTTTATCTTTGATGCCAAAAACCACATTCTCATCAATTTCATTGTGAATATCTTAAAATTTACTGATTTCAAACATGAGCATACATCATTTGTTTTTCCCTCTTCATATTATAGCTAACCACACAGGCAAAATTTAGATCACTAAAGTGTCTATAGTTTAATATCATGACATTTGGCCAAAAGACCCAAAGTAGGATCTGAGGCCAGTGAGAAGATGACGTTTTTAAAGTCCTGAAGTTACTAAAAAAATCCAAAACATGATTTTAAAATCTAAAATCACAATTCAAACATAATATTTGTGAAACCATTTGAAATATTCTTTCTTTAAAGCATATCAGGGCAAATATAAGCAAAAATATGCAAATCACATGCACAAAACCAACCAACCACAACTTAGAAGAAATATACCTTAACATACATAAGCAGGTGAAGCAACATAATTCTCAGTTTAAATTAGTCTCAAATTAAATTCACATATATAAAATAAACATACAAACATTCAGTGGCTTTATGGGAAAAATATCTACTAGCATATTTAAATATAAAATTTTTAAAAAACAGTATTTTCTAGAATAAATATATAAGTATAACATTTTAACCAATATAACTTTCAATCATTCTTAAATGACTCTTCCATCCCTCCCATCAATGTGAAGGGCAAAAGTCCCTCTGTCAACATCAACTCCTATCAACCACATGGTCAAACATAAAGGGACCGGCCTTTGGTGAAGTTGGCATCATGGCCTGGGGAATGCTGAGATGAAAAGAACTTGTGTCCCTGATGATATGGCTAAGCTGTAGGTTTAACAATCCTAAAGCAAGCTCTTCCTTTGAAGTTCCTGTTTGACAGGAGCTCAACTTTCTCAATATACAAGAAACAATTTTGAATTGGGTTTACTGTCATAGCCAGAAACTGATAGGCCTCCCTTTTCTTGAGAGTCATGGCTTTTAAACAGGTAATTAGTTCCCAATTATGGAAACAAAATGTCTGCTACAGCAGAATGGATTTACTACTTCCAAGAACAGAGTGTGAGAGAGAGAGTGCTATTTACAGGCATTGAAAATATCAAGGGAAAATGGCCATCAATACTGAATGATTTCTGAAGATGTTATTTTGGCCCACGTAATTCTTAAAATGTATATTTAACTGAATTTAGAAGTCTTCTTTTAGTTGACTTATTTTATTACACAAACATTTTGAAAAATACAAAATGAAGAGAAAATGATAGCTACCTTCATAAAGTACATCCGGATAATTTGGGTTTGCACCTAAAAAGCAAACAACAAATATTTGTAAGTATGCATTTTGGAGTTGAAAAATTACTAACCTTTACCAACTAAAATGTATTTAATATATATTGAACATTTCATAATCAAATAGATTATAAACAGGACAGGACAGGTAAATATAACCTCAAAGTCTGAGTTTGCTTCATGTTCTCTTTTCTTCCCCAGTTCCCTCCAATTAAGTTTCATCCCACCAACAAAGAAAAGAATAATGAGAAATCACAAATCACTTTGGAAAAACCTCAGAGATCGGTGAATTATGACCATTGCTTTTTTATATATACTGTTTCTATTACACACAGTTGGCCATGCTAACTGCAATGTTGGCATTTTTATTCAAGAGACAGGTAATTTCCATACCACTTTTGTTATTCTCTGATGGTTTAGAGGGTACTGTCAAGCTATATATAGCAGTGCCATTTGCATTCATGAACATATTATTAACACGCTGCAAAATGATATCTAAAGCACAATTTTTTTCTCCCCTTCTTCTTCAGGGAGGGTTTCTAAGGCTGAAAAAACACCCCCCTCCCTCCTTTTTTGTTCTAATGCAACACAGAAAAATACTTTCTCTATTCAAATCATTGATGAGGTGTATAAAAGGTTATAAAAATGTTATTGGAGAGCAATGTAAAAGTATGCCAACTTAATTTTTTTGGATTTTCCTGTAGTCACCAGGATGTTCAGAATATTTTTTTAAAGGTAATGCCCATGAAACTTGTCAAAAGCATTTAAAAACATTTTTTTAGCTCAGCATCAATAAGAATTTGTGACAAAACCATTTGCTACTTATTCTCTGATTACAGCTAACTGGATCTCTATATGAAAGCCTACTTGTAAATAAAATTAAATTTTGTTATAACATTGAAGGGATTGCAAAATGAATTTCCAAAGCGCTTTCCTATACTTTTCATCGCTACTTGCCATGTAAAATAGTAAAACTTGCAAACCATAAAGCTTACTCAATTTTTATTTCACTTCAGAACCCTTAAAAGAAAAATGCCATTAAAACAAAGTGAAATGAGCCAGTTTTCTGCTCATGAATTCCTCAGTGAATAATCAAGATTAGGCTAAATGAAGAACCAAATAAAAGTGGGCCCCACTGTTCAAATTAGAATTTTAACACATTTCAAGTAGAAGAATATCTATTTTAACCAGGGAAAAAATTAAATGGATGGCTGTGCAGTTCAATTCAGGGATGCTGCATATTGCTGTGTGTCCACACTTTGCACTGCTCCAGGGGCACCCTTTATACTGCAGTCTAAGTCAATAGCACCACCTGAAATTGTGCAGTACACAGCCTATGCATCCACCTGTGACTGCACTGCATCAATTCAGTCATTGATTCCAGTAAGTTTCAACTGTATTGAAGTACTTTTATTATCTCCAATACTATTTCAAAGTAGTTTTGAGTTACACTATATCCAAATGTATTGTCAGAATTATTTATAGCTGAAATGATACCCTGAAAAGAGACTTCAGGGCTGCCCTTCAATTTGAGGGGTGATTCAATGAATGAAGCATCAAGAGATCCCAGGGCCAGCCCTCCTAATGTCATTTGCAGAGCACCTACCAATCCTCTGAAATCTTCTCCCTTTGAAAAGGCCCTAAACCAAACAGTGTTCCCATCTCCAAGGGATTTACTACCCTTGCTGAAGGAAAGAGCCCCAGAGGGAGTAAATCATTCTTTGAGCTGCTCAGTAATCCATTATTTTAAAAGATTGCACTCTACGCTTCCACACAGTCTGAGTCTGCATGGGTACATACCCTCCAGTAGCTCAACTATAGACCCACTGCAAGTGCCAGGGACCCAGAATTCTCTTTCTAGGTTGGCTCAACCTTTCCCCTACATCATTAATCCAACATGGTCACACCAGCCTTGTGAGCATCCTCTAATCCAAGACCCAAGGGAGGGATGAGGTCAGAGCCAGGAAAAGTGGGCTGGGCTCTCCACATGCACACCTATAAAGCTTCCAATTAGATAGCTGGAGTTACAGATCAGAGATCATGGCCTGGGATGAGGTTGACCATGCTTTTACACATACAATTCCATAAAAACAAAAAAGACTGAGAATTCAGAACCAGATTTATCTCAGCCACTTAAATGGCCTAAGTGATCATGAGTAACACACAGACTTAATAAACTGCATCACAAAAAGGGAACACCCAAACACACCACCCACACAAAGCCCCTAGGAAGATCCAAGAGCGTCAAATCAATTCAGTGTAGCAAATGTGGGGTATAGAAAAATAGGATGTGGGGTAGAATCACAAATAAATAGATTAGCCCATAATCTAGAAAAGCATTCGTTTTCCAGACTTATGATTTGTATCAGTGCATTCCTTTTCTATCAAGTTCACCAGAAAAACAATTAGGTTACATTTAAACTTTCTGAAAAGCACTCTCTTTTTCCCTAACTTCATGTTTCCAGATACATAAGAGGTACTGTTACATTACTTTGTTTGTCAGTAATAAGCAAATTCAGCATAAGATTATGAAACTTGCACAAAGGCAACGTAGGAGGAAGAATAATAGTTTTTTTTCCTCCCAAGCCATACCACACCACATCTTAAGAAGATCTACTATTATTCTGTAGATATGAGGCTTCCCCCAAAAGCTCATATGTGAGACAGTTTAAGAAATTTGAGGTGAAATTATTGGTTCATTGATCCTCTGAGAAGGATTAACTGGGTGGTAACCGTAGGTGGGTAGGGTGTGTATAAAGGAGGTGATCATTGCAGGCATGCCTTTGGGGTATATAGGTATATATATTTTTGAGCTGAGCTTAGTCTCTCTCTCTGCTTCCTGGGGTCATGTTCTGAGCTGTCTTCCTCTGTCTTCTTCTGCCATGCTGTCCTGCCTCATCTTGGGCCCATAGCAATGGATTCAGCCATCTATGGACTGAGATCTCTGAAACCACGAGCCCCAAATAATTTTTTCTTCCTTTACAATTATTTAGTAATTGTTTAATTAAATAATTAATAATTGTTTTAATCATTTAAAATTATTGTTTTAAACAAATGTTAGGTTTTTTGGTCACAGTAGTGAAAAAGCTAGCTAAAACATCTGCTCTCCACAATAAAGAAATGCCTCTCTGTGTACAAAGGTTATTAAGACTGGCACATGGAAGGATGAATAAGGCTATAGCTCATGAAAACACAAGGGTCACATTACTCATTTTAAATGCAGACACAGAAAAACTATCACTTTCCTTTTAAACTTCTGGCAATGGCCACATTTTGAAAATACCCTGCACATTTTTAAGTCTAATTTCAAACTGGTTCCATTTACTTAAATACATTCATTATATACTGTTATGTACCATGATATGGTAAAGTTAGGGAACCCTATTGGAGATATTCAGGACTAAAAGGTAAGTGAGGCAAGACAAACACTGGCTAGGAGAAGAAAAATAATTAAATGAAGAGAATGAATAAAAGATAAATAAGGAGCATCCAACTTGAGCCATGCTCTTGTAGTGGGGATCTGAAAGGTGTTCTTATATTTTCTTGAGCCCTACCTGCATAGTTCTCATTAAGTAAGAAATATCAGATTCAGGGATCTAGAGGTATAATCAAGCCCTAAAGCTTCATGCTGAGAAACTATAAAATAAAATATGAAAACATGGAGACCCACTGGCGTTCCAAATAAATGGCAGGCTGTCTGATCCCTTCACAGCTCACTCAGGTGTAAAAACTATAACTCCTTCCCAACCAAGAGAAGGTCAGGATGAGGTACCCAGATCTGCTCATTTGATGGTCAGATTCTGCTTTCTGAAGTCTGATGGGCATCCTAAGGAGCCATGTGTACTTTTTCTTCATTCTTTATCTGAGGAATTATAGGAAGCAAGTACCAGGTCCACAGCACAGCCTGGGAGGCCCCAGGTGAAAAGAGCAATTGACTTTATCACAGCTCTGGAGGCACTCCTAGTGAAGCTCCAGGATGAACAGATCATGTCTGCACCTCCAAGAGAGGAGACCTTAGGTGTTCCAAACATGAAAAATAAAAATCACCTTCACTCTTTTCTCCGCAGTATTAACCAAAGCACTACACCATCCTCTGAATCCCATGCAAACAACCTAATGTGGGGTCCTTTTCATTTCTAGCTTCTAATCTCAGTTACTACTCATGAATAAATCTTAGGACTTCATGTAAATATTCATGAAAATATTCATTAAAAAATGGTGAGAAGGGAGGTAGCCTGACAGTAGGAGTCATTCTGCATTCTGACACCAAGATAAAAATAATGGTGGAGGCCAGGAGCACACATCTTTTTCCTTCCTTTAAGCTTTTAGTTCCCCTCTCATGCCCTTCAAAAGAAAGAAAGACTTTTCTTCCAATCCTATTTACAGTGTCTGTTTAGTGTGATCTTGAAAAATATTTCAAAGAATTCCACATGATAAAGCAATAGCAAAAGATTTGTTCTCTTCAAATAAACTGTTCTTGCTTTTGGTAGAAAGTGCTTTCTAGCACACAAGAGGTGGCCTTTTGATGACCAGACCCTCCTCCTCGTTGCTTTCTGAACAGCAGGCTGAACTCAGAGCCCAGACACAGGGGGATTCAGATGTCTGCGTTTCGTTTCTGCCTGACCCACTAATTTGCTATGCGGCACTGGGAATCTCTTCACTTTTCTCTGTAACAAAAGAGTCTTCCATAGGACAGGGGAGGATAATAGGATCGGCTCTGGCAACTCTTCAGGAGCTTCAGAAAGCATAATTAATTAACATTAGTCCTCTTGAGATATAAAGAGCTATTTAAGTATAAGTCTTAATTATCATGATTATCATGAGTCTGTGGCCAAACCATACTTTCTTCCATTATTTAAGGCAGAAAAGCAGGTAGAACTTTCTCTATCCCCCACTCCTCACCACCTTGGGCAAGAAACAGGTTCCCACAAATGACTTAGGGACAAGTGGTAGTGGGGTAGGGGATACATTTCTTAATGTGTAAATTTGGGAGAAATTTCCTGTCCCTATGTTAA